TAGCCTTTTCTGAATCCGGCCTGGTTTTCTGGAATAATTGATCTACCTTCAATCCAGTTGCGTAATCGCGATTTTAGTATTGATGTGAAAAGTTTTGACAGATTACTAATAAGGGCAATTCCGCGGTAGTTTGATGGATTTATCCGGTCACCGCTTTTAAAAATAGGATGGATGATAGATTTAGACCATATTAAGGGATATGAACCAGAATTAATGATTCTGTTGAATATATTTTTTAGAGTAACAAGGTGTTCGAAAGGTAGGGTCTTTAATGCTTCATTCGGAATTTCGTCAGCGCCACAAGCTTTTTCATTTGCCAGACTGGATATTTCTCTAGTTATTTCTGTTATGGAGATTTCACAGTAGAGTTCAGGATCAATTCGTGAGAGAGTAGATAGGTCGCTTCCTATCGTCGCTTCAGCAGAGAGGTTTGTTGTAAAAGCATTGCCACTCTAAAATTGTTATATTTCCTTGTATATAGCTTTTGTCTTTCAAGGTAGCTATAGTTTTCCAAAAGTTTGCGGAGTCACGGGCATTTTTAAGAAGTTCTTGTTTTTCCTGAAGATATTTTTTCTTGTTGAAGTTTATTAAGGTCGTGTACCTTTTCCTATTTGAGACATAAATATTGCGGTCTACGTCAGTGTTCGTTTCCTTAAAGGTTGTGAGGCTTGCCTTAGCAGATTTTTTGGCTAAATAGCATTCCTGATATACCAGGGTTTCGATTTTGGGCGGCCAGGTCTGACCTTAATGCGCATATCTGCAGCAAGCATTGCGTTTAGTATTTGTTTAGAAAATGTATTAACTAGGCTGTCAAGATTCTGGTCTGTAGAGACTTGATTGTTGTCAAGATTCTGCGAAAAGAGGGATGTGTTATCAGGTGCCCATCTGTATCTTTCAAAGCAGGGATAGACGGTTTCTTTCGTTCGTTTGAGATTAGATAAGTTAGACATGTTTATTGTTAGTGGAAGGTGGTCCGAGTATGGGTTATTATCTACTTTGAGGTCAACAACGTGCTCCAGCAGGGAATATGAGACAATAAAATAATCGACAACAGATGAGCCACGACTTGAGATAAATGTGCAGTTTCCAGTTTTGTCACTTATAGTTCTGCCATTAATTTTGTCAGTAGATTATTATCTAGGAAGTTTATGAGTTGTTCCCAATGTTTGGAAAGCACTGGGTCTCTAGATTTGCGTTCAGGTGAAAGAAGTAAGGGACGTTCTAGTGGGTTGTGTAGGTATCCATAGGTGCCGGTACGGATGTTTATGTCACCCGCTAGAACTATTTCATAGCCGTTAGCCAACCTATCTTCGACATGTTTGGATAAAGTAATGAAGTTTGACAGTTGAGATTCGTTTGGAGAAATATATGTAAATATATAACAAATTTGTATGTTGAAACAACGCTTGAAAGGTATAGATATCCAATTATGCTCTACAACGACTTTCTCCAACATAGTTTTTAGTTTATTTTTAATTCCTACTATTATTCCACCCAGCATCTTCCCAGTTTGGACTTCTAGTTGCCAGTGATTCGAATAAGTGGAATCCTCTGCCGTTTTTTAAGTGATGGTTCACACCAGGTTTCGGTCAAAGCAAAAATATCGTATCTCTCTAAGTGACTATAAAGAAGAGGAAAAACTGAATTGAGTCTATACAGCCCGTTAACGTTCATCAGTCAGTGAAAAGGTATCGTTGGGTTGACTTTTACAAGTGATGTTTCTAACTGCTTGCTACAATGATGTCCATGGCATCTACAATTTGTCCATCACAGACCTTATATGCTATGTCATTAAATTATTAATTTGTTGTCCCTTAGCTTAGCTAGAGTGCCTCTTTCGGCGAGTTCTTTTCTTTGACATTCAAAACGCGCCGTTGTTCTCTCGTCTTCATGCTATAGTCTTTCGATAGTGATATCTTAGTTCCTCTTAAATTGAAGCTTTAAATAGAGTTGATCTATCGTTTTGTTCTGGGACTTCAATCAGGATCGGTGCACCGGGTTTTTCTGGATAATCGGTGGCATCGCGTGATGTTTATCTTCTCCTTTGTTTGCATATTTTCTTCGATAACCTTCCGTATCCGTTCTCGGCAGTCCTCGTTATTATCTTGTTCTATTCCATAAAAAATGAAGTTCCTTTCTCTGCTCTTTGCAATCCAAGTATTCAAGCTGGTCTTCTAAGTCTTTTATTTTTTTGGAGTTTTGAGAGAGTGCTACCTTTGTAACGGCAGAAGATTCCTCTAGTTGTTGCAGTCTTTGGTTTATATTTTCTACTCTATCGTCGATTGCCGAAAGACGGGATTCCAGCCTCTCACCCCACTATCCAGCCTTTTGGTGAGTGGCATTTATCAGATCTTTGATATCTTTATCCCTATCTAAGCTTGTTTCCAACGTCGTTTGTTTGGACATCTTGGGCCTGGGTTTTGTTCAATGCCAGCTAATATTAAAGCATTAAAACACACAATAGGTGAAAGTTTCGGAAATATTTGAGAGTGAAAGATTCACACGTGATAAGCAAATCTCTTTGCCGCCGTGTGTATCCGGCTTGAAAGTATAAATTTGGCTCAGAATTCTTGTCTAATAGACATAAAATTATGGTGGTAAATATTGGATATGTAGGTTTCATTTCAGATAGATTGAATTTGCACTTTAGTAAAAATAGAGAAAATATTTTAGTCAGACAGTTCACTTACCGAGAGCGACGTTGCGTGCTGCCTATTCGTGCCGCCTCCTAGCGGAGAAAATTCAATAATTACTCCAATTAATTTTTTTTTGTATATGTCTGGTCTACCATTAGGGTTTCAAAACATAATAACCAAACTTATAACAAAAGTTAATTCATATATAGATATTACTAAATACAACATTTATATTCATATTTTAAAATAAAAAAAATTAAAAAATCATAAAAAAAAAGGATATAATATAAAATTATAAAAATATATATATAATACTAACAATCTTATCTACCTTCTTTACAAACTTTTTTGTTTCTTATTATTAGTTTGATTAAAAGTGCATGGTTCTGTCTTTCTCTCTTTTCTCTAACAATTATATATAGTCCACTTCTATTATTCTATATATAGGATTAGAGTATGTCTAAATGACGTGTAAAAGCCGATGCAAAAGACGTTACGTTGTTAATTTTTATTGTTATTAATTATAAATATATAATTAACTAGATGATGTATTAGAAGTAAAGGACCTTTTTTTTCTCTCTATCTATACTAAAATAATAACAATTTACAAATTTTATAATTTGAATTTAAATAATCAAAATAATGAAGATAATTTTAATAGAATACTTAACTATAAAACTATACAACTATTTATTTTTATAATTATATATATATATGTTATATTAAAATATTATGTTATTTAAATTTGTATTTCATAGATGCAAATACTCTGCTAAATCGACCGCTAGAGGTCACGCTTCCCCTATAAAAACTCATTGTTGTTGTGTCCCATGGCCATCACGTGTTGTTATTTAATTTTTAAAACATCGAGTATTAAGTTATGAATCCTGCCAAGAAGAAAAAGAAGGCCTACAAGCCTACAACCCGCATCGTGAACGTCGCCGACCTGGAGAGGGAAGATGAGATGGTGATCTCACGCAACTGCAGCATCCTGAGCTCCATTGGCCATCCTGCCTGAAATCCCTGCATGAGGACCTGATCCGCTACATCGCCTCGCGGACTGAAATGATCAAGGCCCTCGCTACCAATGTAGAGAACCTCACTGACACCCTCGAGTCCTTCGCAGAGTTGGACGAAATTGAGGAGGCCAACAAGCCCAAGACTGCTTGCCGCGGCACTCAAACCTGCCCTGCTCCTTCCTGCAATGAAACCAGCTCCCAGACTGACCCAATCAAGCCCGCCACTCCTGCTCCTGCTGCTCTCCCTGCCAAGAAGCCTGCCTCCACCCTGCCTGCTCCTGCTCCAACCAAAAGGAAGCAGTCTGAAGCTCCCAACCCGCCTGCAAAGAGGACAAACCTGAATGGTCCTTCAAACCTGTGCCTTCCCACGTCTCCAAGCCTGCGGCCGCCCAAGTGATCCTTCATGGAGAAAAATCGGCGGCCCACACAGTGGTCATCTCAGATGACCCACAGGCTGACCCAAGGGAGATGCTGAAAACAGTCCGCGCTGCTCACACTCTCCCCCAAGGCGTTTGGGCCTCCCTCGCGCACCAAGGGGAAGCTGGTCCTCCATTCCAGCAATCCTGACACCATCCCTGAGTTACAACCTCCCTGGCCAGCAAGTTGAATGGAATGAAGGTCCGCCAGCAGAAGGAGATCCTGCCACGGATCTGCCTCTTCAAAGTGGATGAGGAGACATCCAACTCCCAATTGAGGACCTTCCGAAACCGCTGCTGTTAGAAAACTTCCTGGGGACAAGGTGGGCGCGTGGCGCACCGTTCTGCACCCAGAAACGGGACCTGCACCGCCTTCATCGAGGTGGACTCAAGACCTTTAGAGCCCTGGGCGTTCGCGGGAGGATCGTGGTGGATGGAGTAATCCTCAACTTCGAGGAGTCCATCCGCGCCCGCGTCTGTTTCCGCTGTTGTGGCTTCGGCCACAACTCTGCCCAATGCACCAGAGCTCCCAAGTGCTTCCACTGCGGTGAAGACGGCCATGAAGGCCGAACCTGCCCATCCATTGCTGACCAGCGCACCTCCAAATGTGCCAACTGCTGCTACCAGGGCCTTCCTGACAAGCACGAGGCGAGAGCCTCAAGCTGCCCCATCCTGAAGTCTAGGGCCCTCAAGTTCTAGGCTTCAAGGACCTTCTGCCTCCATTTCATCTGCCACTTCTCCTGGATTCCTGGCCTATTCAACGCACCCGCCTCACTGCACCCTGGCGCTATTCCCCTGCTTGCCCAACGTTTCCACCACCCTGCGAGACATCTCCTGCTTCCAGATCCTAGGGTCCCTTGCCACCTGACATCGATTTTGGGCTCAAAACATAACTTTTGGTTAGTAGCCGTAAATAAAGATATTTTCTCTGTCCGATGGCCGGCTCGATGGCGGAATCGAACCCACAACCTTCTGCTTACCGGGCAGGTGCCATGTCCACTAGGCTACCCTGGACGTATTCCCCGCCCCTGGACACTTTTATTTTTCCGTTTGTCATTACTCTTCACAATTCATCCTATCATACTTCATCCTTAAAAGTAGAAATAATCGTTATTTCTCTTTAAAATAGATTTCGATTTTTGTTTAAAAGAAACATTCGCGGTATAATTGCAATTTTGGTTTTACAATCATCAGCCGCGTTATATTGTATTTTAAATGTATTATAAGTTACTTTAAATATTATTTACGAACGGAAAAATACGTCCAGGGTAGCTAGTGGACATGGCACCTGCCCGGTAAGCAGAAGGTTGTGGGTTCGATTCCCGCCCCTTGACACTTTTATTTTTCCGTTTGTCATTACTCTTCACAATTCATCTATCATACTTCATCCTTAAAGTTAGAAATAATCGTTATTTCTCTTTAAAATAGATTTCGATTTTTGTTTAAAAGAAACATTCGCGGTATAATTGCAATTTTCGTTTTACAATCATCAGCCGCGTTATATTGTATTTTAAATGTATTATAAGTTACTTTAAATATTATTTACGAACGGAAAAATACGTCCAGGGTAGCCTAGTGGACATGGCACCTGCCCGGTAAGCAGAAGGTTGTGGGTTCGATTCCCGCCCTGGACACTTTTATTTTTCCGTTTGTCATTACTCTCACAATTCATCCTATCATACTTCATCCTTAAATTAGAAATAATCGTTATTTCTCTTTAAAATAGATTTCGATTTTTGTTTAAAAGAAACATTCGCGGTATAATTGCAATTTTCGTTTTACAATCATCAGCCGCGTTATATTGTATTTTAAATGTATTATAAGTTACTTTAAATATTATTTACGAACGGAAAAATACGTCCAGGGTAGCCTAGTGGACATGGCACCTGCCCGGTAAGCAGAAGGTTGTGGGTTCGATTCCCGCCCCTGGACACTTTTATTTTTCCGTTTGTCATTACTCTTCACAATTCATCCTATCATACTTCATCCTTAAAGTTAGAAATAATCGTTATTTCTCTTTAAAATAGATTTCGATTTTTGTTTAAAAGAAACATTCGCGGTATAATTGCAATTTTCGTTTTACAATCATCAGCCGCGTTATATTGTATTTTAAATGTATTATAAGTTACTTTAAATTTATTTACGAACGGAAAAATACGTCCAGGGTAGCCTAGTGGACATGGCACCTGCCCGGTAAGCAGAAAGTTGTGGGTTCGATTCCCGCCCCTGGACACTTTTATTTTTCCGTTTGTCATTACTCTTCACAATTCATCCTATCATACTTCATCCTTAAAGTTATAAATAATCGTTATTTCTCTTTAAAATTATTTCGATTTTTGTTTAAAAGAAACATTCGCGGTATAATTGCAATTTTCGTTTTACAATCATCAGCCGCGTTATATTGTATTTTAAATGTATTATAATTTACTTTAAATATTATTTACGAACGGAAAAATACGTCCAGGGTAACCTAATGGACATGGCACCTGCCCGGTAAGCAGAAGGTGTGGGTTCGATTCCCTCCCTTGGACACTTTTATTTTTCCGTTTGTCATTACTCTTCACAATTCATCCTATCATACTTCATCTTTAAAGTTAGAAATCGTTATTTCTTTTAAAATAGATTTCTATTTTTGTTTAAAAGAAACATTCGCGGTATAATTGCAATTTTCGTTTTATAACAATAATATATAATGAAAAACGTGTTGTGTAATAAAACACCTCTGTAACTATAATTATACGCATGGTATACATGAACCAATAAATCACAATATGTTATGTACTCCGTAAAAAATAAAACGATAAAAAAGCTGTATATATACATATGCTTAGCTCAACTATATGAGATATCAAGAAATAGAAATATATATATTGGACTTGCGGAAAGTTTGGCCAACATACACAACTCAACAGGATTTCTTGGTTAATTAACTGCAACGATGCAAGGATTATCCGGCAAGAAATACCTTTAATAACTAAAATTGCAATAGAACAATCTATTCAAAGTGACCAGGCAAAAATAGATAATTCTAAATTCTACCCTCACTATAAGTATTTACACAGTTCATTCCAATTTGAAAACTATTTACTTAGCAACTTTCCATTCCCAGTAAAACGCTATATCGCACAACAGAGAATACTATATTCGTTTTTCAAGGAAAACCATGCAAACATTTTCAAAGAGGGTGATAGGATTTGTGATCTCTGCAAAGAAAATATGGAAACTGAACTATCTCATTATATCTATGAATGCCAAGATATTAGTGAGGAGAGAAGGACATTCTTTTCAATGGTAGACACCAGCCAACTTAGGTCAATCCAAATGATGTTACCTAGTGCCCAAACAAGCAGACTAGTTGCTCAGGCCCTATATAATTTTTACAAGGCAGTAGGCGTAAAGAGGGAGAAAGGAGAACTTGGAAGCTATTGTTCTTACACCTCAGAAAGATGACGAAACATCGAGGGGCCATCGTGTTGGTCGACGATGAGATTGCGGAGCTGGTAATATGAATGGCTGTGCTGAGTAAACCTCCTTTTTTGTGTCTGGATGCTATATTTATGCCGAACTAAATAACTAGTCCCTATTTCTGCTCCGCGCTTATGGAATTGAAGACTTGGGGAGATGGCGTCGACCTTTTATATTAAATCTTACTTTTCTTTATTACTAATAATTGTATATAGTTGCGGAACTACTGGTTTCCTGTGCTGCTCTTTTTCCTGATAATGCACCTTGCACGGAGAATCTGTATAAGACTAATGTCTTAATAAAGGCTTTGTGTGTGTGTGTGTATATATCCATAAACCAGTAAGAAATCTTCTCCACTCAACCCTCTCCATCTTCCCGCGGGCTAAACTCTCTCTGTTCATGGAACTTTTCCCAGTGCAACTATGTCCTTCGTTCTTTATATGGACCATCCCAAGTATTTCATTCTGCTTCGACCATGACTGTCTGCACTCTACGAAAACGGTGAAAGATCTTCCAAGGTGCAGAGAGGTTTAGGAAATCTCTCCACACCTGAGTGTCCCCCTCGGTTACCACATATACATATTCACAATCTACTACTACCTTAGGTGTCACACACCCCGAATTCGAATGAATATCCTAAAATCAGTACAACCTAAACTCTAAATATTTGGGATTTACACTGGACCCATCCTTATCCTTTAACAGACATAACGACTATATAAGAACCTGAACAAAAATATATTAAATCTGTTGAAATTTGGGGAGCAAATGTCAAAACATTTAGCATAACATATATGTCAATAATCAGACCCTTACTAGAATATGCATCACCCATCTGGATGCAAGCATCTAATACAAACATACAAAAAATAGTCAAAATACAATAGAATTCGGCCAGAATCATATGTGGACTGAGCAACACAACTACAGGGAAGCTAGCATAATTTGAACAAGGACTACCATCAATCAAAAACAGAGTGCAAATTAACTTTGTTGACTAAAATTATTGAAAATAAGAATGAATCTAAAACATCATAGTATAAAAAGACTAATTTGAGAATGGCAACCTCTAATAGAGAAAATCTACACAACCAAACTCCCACTACCCTATCTAACTAACACTACCTTAACCCTGCCTTCCCCCCAAACCATAAAAGAAAACAATTCACCATCAATCTCACCATAGGAAATATAAGCAACAAGCAAAAACGAAAATCCACACCTTGTATAAAATCCACGAATACGGTCCTGCATATATAAATATTTATACAGACGTCTCCAAAGATGAGGAGAGAAATACTGGAGTGCCGCCTACACACAAAAGAAAAATTAGCAACCTTTAGAATTGCAGCAGACCAATCCAGAGGATGCTCAATCCTTAATGCTTAACTGCTTACAATCAGCCTGTCTTTGTCTCAGCTGAATAGGTCGACAGCGGGCTACTACGTCTCCATCATAGATTCCATGTCGGCCATCCATGAACATACCAACTGCTATAGAAGCTTTAAAAAATCTACGGGTGAGGCCTGGATGACGACACGCTGGCCATCCTGGCGTCTGCCAAGGCGTGCCTCTATAAGTATCATTTCAACATTGAACTGAGAGAGGTTCGAATGATCCTGTTCTTATCTGGAGGAGGACTCTCTCAAGGTGGAGGAGCCTTCCTCCCTGAGAACAGTTTTTATATATTTTTTTACACCAAAATTGTAAAAAACACATTTATCTTTCTTATTAATTTTTGGCACAATTGACTAAGAGTGTCAATAAAAGATATAATTAATTGTAAAAAAGGATCTCTGCTATAATATGGAAATGCTTAGCCATGACTCGACAATAACATTCCAATGGATCACCTCACACATTGGCCTACACGGAAATGAAAAAGCAGATGCAGTGGCAAAAGCTGTTGTCCAATCCAGTGACAACCACGACTTTGATTATTTCGAGTCAAATAGTATCTACCTGAGTGACCTAAGGAAATAATAGATGGAAGCCTACCCCGTGGAGATGCCACATGTCTGTCCCGTCTCAAAAAGAAGGAAGCAACCCCAAACCATCTACTTTCATGCATGGAAACCACCTACCACTACTTGTACCGCAAGCCACAATTAATCCTAAACAAAATACATGAAATTATATAATAAACAAGGTAAATAAAAATATACAAATTTTAGTGCTGGCTGCTTTCTGATTAGCTGACTGATCTTGAGCGTTCTGGAAACATCAACTCATAGGGATGCGGAGCTTATTCCGAAGAAGAAGAACGAAGATACGTGATGTGCTACAAGCAAGCGCGAGTTGCTATCTCAAGAAGTCAGGCTGTTGCTTATCGTCGAGGCTGGTGTACTTCATAGAAAATTCTGGAAGGTTCTGCCAACTTCTGTCTTCTGTTCTATTCTTGTTTTCCTTATCTGTGTTGTAGTTGGTGAATTTTCTACTGCTGTATTTATATTGCTTTCTTTTGTATTCTTCTGTAATTATTTTCTTAATTAGGCATAAATAAAGTTTAAGTATCCTTTATACCCACGTAATTGTTTTTTTGACAATCAA